TCTGCGTTCAAGAGGTCCCAGTGTCATCCCGGTCCTGCCGATTCCCCGGGTGGTCCAACGCACTCAAGCACCTCCTCAAGAACCGGCCAGCCACCAGTACCCACACCTGTGCTCCACTCTGTCCTTTCATCCCCTGTCTCTACTTCCAGAGGTGTGGGACAAGAGGTGCACGGGCAGCCCCCTTCTCAGCTGAGTCTCCAGTCAGGTACGTGATATAATAATTGCAACTTACATTTTTTATTCCTTGAGAAAGGGACCATAAAACTTTTGCTGATGTATTTAGATGAAAAATGATGTTAGTAAGTATAACTTGTCAACTGCAGAATAGCAGGGGTGCATTCAGTTTTTCAATCCCTAAACCACTGAGGGCCACAGAGAAGGAGAGAGAGAGAGAGCCACATGTGGCCTGTGAAACACTAGTTTGACACGCCTGGTGCAAACCGTCATCAATCTAATTTGTACCCTATACTGTGTAAACTGTGTACATTAATTGCTTACATTAGTTACATGCATTTGTACATGGCCTCTTGTTACAATAAAAAATAATGGAAGAAACATTTACTAGATTTGTTTTGTATTACCTTTCTTTTACCATTGTGTTACTATTCTCTGTTGTCCTTTAGGAAGCAAAAATCTTTATAAATATTTCGGGGTGGCTATAAATGGCCCAATAAAAGTAAAACATTCTTTCAATATCAAACTATTGTAACTATTGGGCAACTATTGGCCCATTTCTAAACTAGTAGAGGGTAATAGCACTTTGTATTACACAGGCATATTTTTTTGTGAGTGGGGCCTTATTGTTCACTTTTCTGCAGGGGGTGAAGGGTTAGAAGTATAATGGGCTGGATAAGGATGGCATCTTAGTCCACTTAGGGACATAGGCATACATGTCTTTGTCTAGCATCTCAGGTATATGTGTGCTTCTCTATGGCTACCCTTAGGTATATATGTAAACGTGAGCAAGTTTATACAGTTACATCTACTGTATATACAGTTAGTAAATATAAATGTAACTAGTGTGGCAGTGTAAGCCAATGCCACGGTGGAGGATGGCGACCTTGGCACCCAGGACTCTCAGCCAAAGGGGCTGAGAGGGTCCAGAAAGTAAAGCAGGTTATAAGGAAGAACCTGGCTTTTCAGGTTATTCCAGGTTTTCCTATTTGCAGCTGGGATCTGGAGCTTTGGAGATTTCATAGAGCTCTGGGTGGGATGAGATCTCCAGTCCTGGGGCCAGGTGTTGCCAATGACCAGCCTGGGCTAATCAGGTGGCTGAGAGCAGCCTTATCAGGAAGCCAGCCGAGTGCTCAGGGAAGTGTTGGAGTTGTGTGTGTGCAGGGAGCACACGGACACAGACAAACTCGGGTGCGTGCTGGACGCACACGGAACAGCCAGGGGTGGCTGGGAGAGGTCAGGAAGGTTGGTGACCCCAGGGACCTGTCGGACAGACTGCTAAGAGAGAGCAGAGTGAGGGCTCACGAGGGGTGAGCAAGCGTGAGTGTCTTGAAGCTGTGGAAAGCTACCGAGCGAAGCTAAAAGACTGTCGTATGTTGCTGTTTCAAGCTATTTTGTGTTTTCCCTTTCAATAAACTGTGTTTCCTTGACCTACCTGGACTACAGTGGAGTGTCCTTGTTACACTAGATGCAGCCCCTTTGCTCATTACATATTGTATGTAGGCTTTCCTTCCTGCATAGTAGCACTGTGCAGTCTCTATGCTTCACTGCTCCTCTCTCAGTACAAGTCTGTGGGTCAGGTGTGATCTAACTGAAAACAATGTACACCACACTATTTGTAAAGTTAGCTTAAATTGGTCAGGATAGGAATATTACAACTATCATGGCTGACGTTTTAAAATGTTCATGTGCCAGGAACACCATCCTTATCTTTGCTTTACTATACTACTTAGTAAGTGTAATGTGATGGGATTATAATCCAGAATATGCCAAGATATTATATATAATAATGTAAACAACATATATCTAAATTAAAGCCTCCCAATATAATACTAATGAATAATAACACACTCACTAACAATAACAAAGAATGAAAATTGAATAGAAACTAAAGCTGCTAATTCTCATCTCTCCACCCCTCCAGTGTTACAACATCAGTTAGCTCCCTCGCCGACACAAACATCTTTGCCCGCTCTTTAGGGTTTTGCATCTTGTTTGACTGGCCTAGGATGACACAACTACACATACGTATGCGCATGTAAGTTGATTCAGGCTGGAACCATGGAATACTGAGCTGCCCACTCAAGGCTTGGTTTACAATCTTTTAGGGACCTGCTAGCAGGCAGGTAAGATGCTTTTATTGCAGAAGGGACATACAGAGTTCTTCTACAATAAAAGCTTTTCTGTCAACTAAAGATCCACTTTAACATTTACTTCTCTTAGTTACATATGATAGCTTACAAAAACAGCAGCCTCAGCATTGCTGTCAGGGACCAGAGCAACTCCAGGTGGCACTGCGGAGCTGGAACCTGATCCTGCAGTTCCAGAGCTTACCTTCAGGTGTCTCCCAGCAATTAGTCACCACCTGGTGCTGATCTGGGAGGGTATTTGGCCTCTCCTTGCTGTTGAGCCTGTGCCTCAGTATTGTTGCCATTTCCTGTATCCTGTTTCCTGAATCCTGTTTCCTGTAGCCTTCATCCTGGTCCTGCCTTGAATCCTGACCCTTACCCCTGAGGTCTTCTGATCAGTGGCTCCCCTCTTGTTGTCCTGCTCCCCAGGGTTTGTCCTGTTGTCTTCGGTGTGTATTTTGTCATTTGTGTTAGTTAGGCTGTTATATGTTACTTGCGGGTGGTGGTGGGGGTGCTTATGGTTGTGGTGTTTTGGAGTAGCTAATAAATTATAGTTCATAAGCACTGTTTGGTGTGGTCACGTAATTGGCTCTCTTCTATAGATACCTGCGCGCGGTGTGGGGACACCTGTGCATGGTACCGTAACAATTGCTCTAGTCCAATCTTCACCGACATCTTGGGGCCTGCTGCCATGTCTTACTGCAAGCTGTGGAATTTTGATGGTCAAATGATGGCGGTATGGTCTCTCATGATCCATCTGCGAGCCACCACAATCAATACAGTTCTGCTCCTCTTTTATGGTGTTCAAATATCTCATCAGCTTGTTAGTACACTGTGCCTTCCAAATTTGAGAGACATTCTAGAAGATTAATATACTGTAATAATTTTGCTGACTGCTAATATTGTCTCTGTTTATTCTGCTGCACAGTAGTAATGGGTAAATTTCCGAGGCTGTCCCCGTTCTTGCAGATGCAAAACTATCCTGCCATTTCTTTCAAGCTTTCAAGCTTTCATTAAGAATTAAGAAACCGCAATTGATACAGCATTGTAAAACTGTCCAGTAGCAGTACTGTTTTAATCAGGAATAATAGACCAAAATGTACTAGAAACAAGGAGCACAAACTGGGGTTTTACGTCAAGAATCAGGATACTGCAAAAGGTATAGTAGTGTAAAATGAACCAGCAACAAAACAGGTTTAATAGGAGATAATAGGCCTACCTGAAGTATGCCTAACTTTTATTTTTTTAATGAGGATAGAGGGTTTGTTGAAAGTAAGTGTACAATATAAGGTTGTTTAGGTGCACTCATTTCTTGCAGTTTGTTTGTTTTTCTTTCTTTCAAACAATGCAGCAGCTAGCTACAAACAAACGGTCCGTGTCAAGTGAATTATCTGCTTTAAACACCCCATACTTAAAAAAAGGCCATATTAACATAAACATAAAACTAAAATTTCCTAAAGTAAAAAAAAAAAAAATCCACTGTGCAAGGTGGAGAGACTTACTTGAATTTTCCTTTTCCCAATATACTTTCAAACTAAACTTACTCTTGCTATGATGCAGGCAGTTGAGCAGCCAAGGCACTTTGCATATTACCACCTTTACATTGGAGAATGAAAATATTTTGTATGTTGTAATTTAGATGGGTAATCAAACCTAATATATGTAATTATTATTTTAATATGAGTGGAATTCATCTCTAAATACATTTGTTTTGTGTTTTTTCTACCATGTTCCTTTCATGATCTCTTCTCTCCAGTGCAGGAAGTGATCAACAGAGATAAGCATTACATATCCTTATCTTCCATTGCAGCCTCTGCTTTCTGGTAAATGCTTAGAGCGCCAGAGGCATTCTACAAGCCTCTCTGTTTTCTGCAGATGGCAGGAAGTGTTGCTTTAAAGCTAAACTTCAGGCAGATAAAGAAAAACACTCATTATAGAAGTTATGTATTAATTTAAAGAAAATGTAATGTATTTTTAAAAACAACACATACCCAAATTTGACTTGAAAATTGCCTCTTGCAGTTCCCGGTACAGCAGAGCCAAAACTGGGGGAGGAGGGTTACTGTTAGAAGCCAATCAGGTTTGCAATAGTGCTTATGTGTTTAAAAGGAACTTGCTGTCTGTAGGTGAAATCAGAATGAGTGGAGGAATGACTTATCTGTTTTCTACCTCTCATTTACTATCTAATCACAGGCTGGGGGACAGGGAGGTGACCTAGCTGTATTACTTAATTGCAGTAGAGAAAAGACAGGTTACCAACCCTGTCTTTCAGGGCTCTATAAATCTCAGGAATGAAGGGACAGAAATGCAAATTCTTTTGCAGGTAAAACAGCTACCATATATACAGTATTTCAACCATATATTTATCTGTTTGCCTGGAGTTCACCTTTAAGGAATCTACTGGCTGTTTTCTTACAGTGACTCCTGCTAGATATAATATGTTTCACAGTTCCTGAATTTCCTGATGGTAAATTTCTCTCCTTGCATCTTGCCATAAAGGTGTGCATAAATGGTTTCAGAGGCTGTTCTGGTTATGTAGCAGACCCTAATAGCCAAAGGATGCAATAGGAGATATGATTATCAAAGCATGAATCAAGGGGAGCCTTCAGCAGAGAGGTAAAGTACCTGGCAGTTTGAATTTGTATTCTTGCACATTAACCTGTAGCGATAGAAGTGACAAGCCATAAACTGTGCAGATATGATGAATAATTTATTTATATACAATAAGCATTGATAGATGTATTCCATTTAAAAGAAAAAAAATACAGTAACAAAAATATTTTCAGCATAATACCTACAGTATAAACTTAAATGTGACAAACAGATTTTGTTGTTGAGTTATAAAGAACACAGAGCCTGATATAACAGAGTACGAGTTGCGTTGTTAACTAAGACAGTAAAAAACTGTACAGTGCAGGCAACACATTACAATAAAATATGGTCAATGAGGCAGTCTTTTTCAATAAATCTGGGGTAGGAGGGAATGGAATTAAAATCTCATAAATCCGCCATATCTTTTATCCATTTCTGGTATTTCTTTGGAATAGCTCTCACCATCTTCATCTGAAGGAAGAATAGAATCAGCATAGCGCCTCATGAACCCGCCATATCTTTTCTGGTAGTCCTGCCACCATTCAGGCCTGCCTACTCTTCTCATAAACCCGCCATATCTCTTCTGCAACTCTTTAGCCTCATCTTCAACATCTGGACTTCTTCTGTAACCTCTCATGAAGCCGCCATACCTTTTGTTTACCTCTCCTGGTGCGTCACTGTCAGCATCCACACCATTACCTAGAAGCTCTCTGAGGACATCTGAAGTATCACTGTCAAATTCTTTCTTCATGAAACCTCCATACTTCTTAGCAAGAACCTCTCCACCAGCAGACTCTTCCTCTGGTTCAGTGTGGTACAGTTCATCCATTTTCTTTTTCATGAAGCCACCATATCGCTTCATAAAGCCCCCATATTTTTTAGCTAATAAGTGGCTATCATCTATCTCTTTCTCAGTTTCCTGAGCATTGTCCTCTTTAGCTGTTTGAAGAAGCTCTTTGCATGTTCCCCAGGCTTTGACAGAGGGCAGCTTTCCTTCACATTCCAATGTGCAAGTCTGTAACAAGATTAACATGTATATATGAGCTTTATAAAGGCTTTTATACACAGCTTTAAAACATATATTTGTCACTAATTTCCTAGAAATAAAAATAATTCAATCCTTTACTGGATTGGCCATTTTAGGATACATATTAACACTGCTAGAGCATAACACACATATGTTTACCGCCTTTGTTCATGCACACTAAGTGGGGTTGATTTATAAAGACTAGAGCAAAAGATTTTCTACAGCAACCAATTCTGTTTTCTTTGAAGGTTGAAACATTATTGATTTGTTGCAGTCCGTATTTCTACTGTAGTCTCTAGTTTTCACAAATCAGATCCATCAGTTTGTCTACCAGCTTGAATTAAGGTACACATTGTTTACAGAATTGCCACTAAATATATAGTACTTACATTATATTTGTTTTATTTGTATTGTAGTCTAGTATTCATCAGTCAGTGGTTCAGCAAGCATATATCCTAGACCAAACTTTATTGCTCATCCCTATCCTGTCACTAGGTGTTCTCTACCTGGACCTCTGTACTTCCTCTGCATTACATATTTTTGTATGACTTCAAAGTAATTTTAATAAAATGTTATTAAATTAAAAAATGTCAGTACTGATTTTCCATGTTTCATGTTCTTTCATTACTGCATGTGTTATAGACCATTACATTCAAAGAACATATTCAATTTAATTCCTCACTTACTTCATCAAATATATTTAGCCACAGTTTACCAAATATCACACTGCACAAAGTTCTGCTGCATCCGCTGCATTCAGAAACTTATCACATAGCACGAAATGAGTGACAGCTTTTCTTTCTCTCTTTACTTTCTCTATTTTCGAATGTATCTATGCTATTAAAGAATAATGCAATGACTAAATCATTTGTATTGATGTCTTTGTCATATCAGGAAACCAGGTATAAGCACCACAGGCTGTATAATACCATGTTGTGGATTTGTATTCAATAGCAGAAAAGTCAGCAATTAGCCTTTGTGCAGGATATGTTTTGCTCCTACTCTTGATTTATTTTAAACATCCACGTGATATACACCAATATAACAAAATGGTGCCCTCTATGGTTGTAAGAAGTGAGGTTCTCATCCTGTCTTTGCCCTTAACTGTCTCATGATAGTAAATACATAGAGAACAAAATGAAGGGGAACGCTATTCATTAAAGAAGAACTATGAGGTGAGTGCTTTTCACTCACCTCATAGTTCTAGCCGACCTGTGACAATGAGACTGTCACAGGTCGGCTCAGTAGATCGGGAGGTGAGCGAACACATACCAGCGTTCGCTCACCTCTCGATCCTGTCACAGCTCTCTGCCGTGACAGGGGAGGGGGCGGGTACAGCTGGCTCTGCCTCTACATAGACATAATTGTTGGGATCCACTTCAGCTGCAACGTCTCAGTATACCGCGATCAGTAGCTTGCGGTATACTGTGGCGTCTCAGTGTACCGTGAGCTGTAGCTCGTGGTATACTGAGCTTAGGGTGACGGGAGGACGCTAGTTTGTGTCCTCCCGTTACCCTAAGTAGAACTATGGGGAAAAGCCTTAACCCCATAGTTTTCCTTTAATGCACCAAATCAGTATTCACTCTGCAGAACTCAGACCAGTATAAGATAGATTATAATTGGTTGCACCTGATATAAAAGCCACCATTTAAAACAGTTAAGGCATAATTAAAAATAATTAACATAGAACTATGGCCTCCCAATAAAAAACATGCAATGATGCACCTAATTATAAGCCCATCAAACTTATAGTTTTCTCTTCCACTGCAAAGTCCCACAAAATGCCTGCTGAGTCTGCCAGTGAAGTGCACCTAATGTAGCTTACGGTGATGGTGTGGCAATGATGCTGCACTGTTCCTAACTTCAGAGCAGAGTTGCCACTCTGATGTAGGCTATTCCTCCTTACACTACAGTGGGATGAGAAAATGTTGCAGCATTGTTACTCCTGATTCATAAGCCTACAGCTTGTCAATCAAACCCTGTACACACTGGGAGGGAAGCGTGTGAGACACAAATTAAAGAGGAATTGACTCAGGCAGGGAAGGTAAAGGAAGTTTTTTTGTTAACTTTATGAAGGCTTGTGTATCACACAGTAACTGGATTTAGTTTAGTTGTACTTATAATGTACTCCTTTATTTTCCATTTACAGGCTGGGGCAGGTCCAAGACCAGGCGTTATTGCTCAGTTATAGTGTTGTCAGATGTGAGGTCTGGGACCTTGTTGTGCTCACTGCAGGAGTTCCAGGATCATGTGATTGGAGGATATAAGAAAAATAAAAGTTTCACACCAAAAGTATAGGCGTCCAGGTAAACTTACTTCATCACAGAAGTACAAAGATAACAAACCAAAGTGTTTTGGGGTTATAAGGTTCCCTCTTATCATAGTTTGAAATTATGGTTTAGTTGGACTCTTGTGGTTTATAGGGGGTAAATCAACTCTGAAATAAATTGGTTTCATTAATAAAAAAGTATGCGTCAGCAGCTGGTTGTAAGAGATGTGATGTAGCTTGGCTGTACAGATTTACAAATCTTATACCGAATAGGTCACGTTGTTCTTAGAGAGCACTGGAATGCACTGCAATACCAGTTTCTGGTGAAATCTGGGATAAGACAAAATCCTAGAGAAAGAGCCATATCTAGGAAGAAATCCCTAACAGCAACACTTGTCTAAAGTACTAAATGTGTTTTTTTTTAATATAAAAAGCATAGTCAATGTCAGCATAAAATATGCTTAAAAATGCCCAATCATAATCATCATTAGTTTCTGATAATGGCAGCCACACACCTTAATTTTTAAGCTTTCTAAATATCTTCACAGTCTGTTATCTACTTCGACTAAGTTGAAGTTTCTTTTGATGAAAGATTTATGAAATCATAAAGCTTTAATTTGTAATATGCATCCCATAAAAGCACTTTTAAATGTCATTCCAGAATTGATTCTTCTTATAAGATGATCTGTTTTTTTAACATACTTTTTGAAGAACTGAATAAGCCTGAAGCTGATCTGTGCTGTAGTTATCTTGTTTTTTATTTCTTGAAACTAAGAGATATTTCATCTTTTTAAAAGGGAAAAATACAGCTTATTTTCCAGAAGGATTGTCTTTCACTTAGAATACCTTGGATGTCAGAAACAGAATGGTTAAAGAAAAGGTTGTCCCCAAAATATTTGTTGGTTTGGTTGATTTGTTGTAAACACAGTATTTCTTTTAAACAAACTACTTTAATTTGCAGATCATCTATGGCATTCTGTTGTTATTCCATTGGATCTGTGGACCTCTGCTTGCTAGTATTAATGTGCTAATGTGCACATAAAAAACTGATGTGAGTTTTAAAGAACATCTGGTCATTATTCTCTGGGCAGGATGCAAATCACTGGCAGTATTAAGTGGAAGGGATCCAAAGAGACCCAGAATATTATGCAATCGAAAAGTATTACTAAAAGAGACTCTGGAATCTTATACTTGTCATTTCAAATAAAGACACTATATTGTACCAGGTTACATGGCTTAGAATAAAAATACAGTTTGGTATATATACCTGATCAATGAGCATATTACATCTGTAGTAAGCTGCTGAACAGTCACTATAATATAAGTTCCTGCTAGTGAACAGTTTACATTCCTGTGTAAGAATCCTTTTACCCCAAAAAACCATCATCACACTGCAATCAGTATTATTTAATGCCTGTGCAGGTAAATTGTATCTAACCATTTGTATTCAAATGAACTAAATAGCTCATTGCATTAAGCTCCTTTGTAAAAAAATAACAATTATGTGCGTATTTCTTAAAGGTGCAATGGTGGGTTTAAATGACTTTGGATTTAGATTTGGAATGTCAAGTCCAGAGACAAGAAGTTAAAGTCAACAAAAACTGGGGTAAAAGGGTAAAATGTTCTGCCTTT